TAATTGCACTAAAAACTTAAATTTTTATATTCATAGTAAGAGTGAATAGCATTGTATTTTGGAGAATTATATTTTTGCTAATTATTTCTTGAAAATGTGACACATAAATTTATTGTTAAGGATCTAAGGATCTTTAATTCTTGGGGTTCTGAACTTGTTTTGAGGAGTTGTTTGGTCTAGAGACTTTAATCCCTTGTGGGATTGTTTCTATTAGTAATTCCACTTGGTTTGTTATTAAGTCACTTTTTTGTTAAAGGATCATGATATATAGGTATTGGCTAATTTTTTAGTGGTACACTAACTAAACCGGTTGAAAAAGGCTTTTTTGGATTTGAGTGAGACACATATGGTATCTGATCTTGTAGCTTTGGTTAATGCGACTTAGACATTTGGTTTTGGTTGTTGTATAGGAAAATTTGCGTTACAAAAAGTAAGCAAAGTTAGAAAACATAAAGTGAACTGATTTTCTTTCATATCTTTTTTGTTGAGTTACTCTTTGTTAAAAGAATTTTCTATGTATTTTAACTTTTAAACTGCATTTTTTGGAGAGTTTAGAATGTTAATTTTTTAGAATCTGATGATAATAATAAATCTTTCTTTTTTATGTTTTTGTTAGAAGAGCTCTACGAAAGAAGCTCTTTACACATTTATCATTATCATTAAATTGAAGTTTGCAGATTCTACAGGTGACATAGGAACACTAGGCGTGATTTGTAGTCTCTGTTTAGCTTACGTTTGTGTGTTTGCTTTTTTACTTTTGGGTTTGTTAGTGTGTTTTGGTGTGTTGTATGGTTTGACATTCTTTATTTGAATTCACTTTGCTTTTCTAGTACTTGTAGAAATACAAGTATACTCTTTGCTTTAAGTTATTAATTGGAAAGGAATTTTAATTTGTCTTGTTTCAAGGCTTTTAATTAAAACAGGAGGATTTCTTTTTAGTTTTGTTTGCGTGTTATTTGTAAAATGCTTAAAAATTGGTGGATCTGGTTCTGAAAAAGAACTGTTTAAAAAATTATTAACATATAAAGCTTTACTTAATTTTATCTATGGTATTACTTCTGCTCCCCTCTTCTGTTGATCTAAATGTGTTTTAATGTGTGATGTGTCTTTTTAACAGTTGTTTGATTTGATGGGGAGTGGGGAATACTAAAGGTGTAATGAACATTTTAATTTATTAGGAATGTTGTTACTTTTTGAGATAGATATGTGGGGCTATTGTTTGTTTTCATTTCCTGGGGTACACTTAATGACGTAAATGTTTGTAAAAAATGTTGATAAGTACGATTACTTGTTCTCTTGTGTGGATAGAGGTAAAAACTGTACTTGATAGTGAATCTACTGAAACATGAATATTTTTAAATCTCTCAAAAGAAAGGTATTTAGTGATGTTTGTTATAATTGTAGATTTTATAAACTTTGTGGATTAACAGTTCTTGTAGAAACAGGTGTTTGCACAAGCTGACAATCAGGGTAACTGTTAATGATAGCTTTAGCTTGGGATTTAGAGATACGAAACGTCTGTACAAGTGCTTGTGTATTTTGATGCAAAAAGGTATGACCAAATTTGCGTGCTCAAAAATGTTTGGTAATGTGTTTGAAATAACTATGGTCAGTTTATTTGTTCTTGTATTTCTTGGTAAAGATGAATGAGCTTTAATATTAGAAATAAAATACAGGTTAGTTCTGTGTTGTAAAATTTTATGAAGACATGAAAGCTAGCAATATAAATTATTATTACTAATATTTTTTAAAACTATTTTTTTACTTACATTAGTAACATAGGTAGAATCTGTAATTAAATGGAAAGTCTTTGAAAATAGCTGAAAAGCTTTAACAACAGCAGCTAGTTTAACTACTTGAGGAGAACTTTCTACTTTTGGAATTTTTGATTTCTAATTTTTTGTTGTTTGATTTAACTATACATTTACTGATTTATGTGTTTTTCTTGACTTATTAGTGAGGAGCATTGTATTACTTAAAGGCCCTTCACTTAGCAAGGGCTTTTCTTTGAAACTCAGTTTTGTTTGTAATAATTTGTGACTTGGATAATGAATAGAACAAACACTTGAAAAATTTAACAATGCATTTTGTAAATCATCTGAATTTTGTAATGCCTAATCTAAATAATCTTTATTTAAAGGTAAATATAGAACTGTAAAGTCTTTGCCTGTTAAGGTTAATATTCTTGCTTTGGCCTTAATTACAATTTGTGCTATTATCTCTAGGGTTGTAGAAATTGTTTTTGGAGACTTGTAGGGAAGAAAAACTTATTCTACTATTAAAAATGGATCTTTCTCAGATGGATCTCATTGGAAAATGAGGCTATAAAGTTGTAGCTTCTGTCTCAAAGCAGTCAGGAAGAAAGGTTTCTTTGGAGCATAATAATGGTCTTGTCTTCTTTGGAAAGTTTTTGTGACTTTTTATGGTGAGTTGAGCTTCAGGTGTTTAAATCTTGGGAGATTTAATGTCAAAGTTTTCTCTCAGTAGATCAAAAAGTGGAGCAAGTTCATTGTTGGTAATTTTCAAAATAGGTTTCATCTTGTTAATTTCTGTTAAAAGTTGCTGCAAATCTTGCAAAGTGTTGGTGTTGAAGTTGTATCTTTTGGGGTGAAATTGTTTGTTTTGTTATGTTCGATCTTAGATATTTTTAGAGTGGGATTTCTTGTATCTTAGATGTAGAAATTCTAGTTCAGTCTTTTGGATCTCAGTGACAGCACTGTCACAAGTTTGTTTTATCTTTGTCTGTGTTGGTGCTGCAATGAGTAGATCATCTGTGTAGTATAGAATCATGGATTGTGGATGCTTCTGTCAAGTTGTACACAGTACTTGTGGGACAAAATATTGTTAAATTGTTAGAGAATTCTTCATCCCTTGTGGTAAAGATTTCGAGTGATATCTTTGCATTGGCTTTCTTTGATTGATGACTGGAACTGAGAAGGCAAATCTTGGGGCATCTTCATAATGAAGTGGTACGTTGAAGAAATAGTCTTTTATATCGATGATGACAAGAGGCCAGTTTCTAGGAATTATTGATAGAGAGGGACGTACAGCAGCTGTCTTCCTTTCAGGACTTGTAATAGTAATCATGGATTTACTTTGTAAACAAACAGTAGTTTTTCTGATCCTTGTGAGTGTTCTCATAGGTGACATTAAGTGTTAGTTATGGGCTAAAACAGGAGAGAAATTACAGAGACATCTGCACCGTACCTGGTATGCCTGTAACATAAATTGTTCTACCACGATGAGTTAGGCCACAAGTCAGTTCTGGTTGCTTTAGAACATACTTCTTAGTATGTTCTACTTAGAAGACATCTAGCATTGGAGTAGAAATCACATCTGGAACACCTTGGTACACCGTTTGATTGGTTAACAAAGCATTTTGTTGAGATACATTTTGTTTGATTATGTCTATAGGTAAAGCAATTGTAAAAGCAAGAGGTGCCTTAGGTTGAATTACTGTTGGGGCTTTAAGGGCAAGAGCTAAAACTATTAGGTAAAGGCTAAAGCAGGGATTTTTCTTGCACAGCAGAAGGCTGTGACCTAGGCAAGTGATCTAGGCAAGTCCTGCGTTCAAGTGGCCAAACCAAAGAGAATTTTTAGCTTCCTAAATTCCCCTTAGACTCCTGACTTCCAACCAGTCATCAGATAAAAAAATCTTCACAGAAATATACTCTTTGAGTTTTTTTATGGGGTTGTTTTTTTTTGGTTGGGTTTTTTTTTTTTTTGTGGGGTTTTTTGGTTTTGTTTGTTTTGTTGTGGAGTTTTTTTGGTGGAGTTGGTTTATCTCCATCCTGAAGGAGCCCTTCTGCCCCACATCTCTTATTGATGTCATTTTTATGACATTTTTATGTTACCACTACTACATCTACAGTTTCTTTTCATGAGAATGCTATATTTTTGTCAATAAGAACTACTGTGAAAGAACATTAGGTTACAGGATAAATAGAGAGCAGGAGGTGTTTTCCGTGTGCCCCCAAAGAAAAGAAACAGATACTTTTATAACAATCTGTATTTCATATCCTAGTTTTATGCTTCTAAAGATGTGTCCAAGAGACACATCGAAGTGGAGTGATCAGATAAAACTGTACTGCAGGCATTTCTCAGGAGACAGCCTCCAGCCCATCCATGGTATATTCCTCAGATCCATGGCACTTTTTCGTACCTTCCCCACTCTTTCCCATGACTCTTAGAATCCTACCCATCAGCCCGAGCCCTGCTCAGATCCGTCTCTAGGAAAACACATCAAGTCCTCTGGGATTCTGCAGCACAGCCCAATGAATCTGCTTCTTGCCCATAACAGCTGCCAGTGCTGAGCTCTCAGATAAGACCTGGTGGGGCTGAGAGCAGAGCCCAGTGGATTCTGTGTCTACCATCACCTGTTGGGACAAAAAGGGCATTGATCTGCACCTCGGTGTGTCTGATCTCAAAGCCCATCCTGTTATGTCCTGAATGGGGGCAACAGTTTGTAAGGGGCTCAGGCTGCCTGTGGCTTCTTCCCATTGCTTGTCAGTGCTCATGCTTGGGCTTTGCCAGCCTTCTTGTGGTAGCTGCCCTGTCCCTGAGGGCTGGTGGGACTGCAGAGGCTGGAGCCTTCCTTAGCCCCAAGAGGGGTGTTTGTGAGCTCAGCCTGCTCATAAAGGGTGAGGGTCCCGATGCTGAAAGCCCCATTGGGATTGGTTATAGCATGAGCTGCTCTGGTTTACAATTGGAAAGGCATTGTTTTGGCAATCTTTTGGCTGAAAGCTGGAGAAGTTGTGCTCCACTCCTGGGAATGCATCTCCCTGTGCTTTGTTTCCTGTCAAGAGAACTCTTCCAAGGACTCTACAAAAGCAGTCTCTGTGCCAGCCATCTGCACTGCAGGGCTGCCTGCCTTGTTGCTGTTGTTGTTGCTGTTGTTGCTAACCAGCTGACCACCCCCAGACACTGGGGCTGCCTTTTGTATCTCCTGGAAGCTGGGATCTCTGCTTTAAAGTGACCATCTTGCATTTGGTTTCCCTCAGGGAAAATGGTGAACACGGAAGATCCCAAGATGAAATACACTGAAATGGAATATATTGGCAAGGGGTGAGTCCAGCCACACATGCATCTACACAACCATGGGCCAGGTGTTCTTCTGGTATATCATTGGTCTATCAGGTGTTCCACTGGAATATCTATCCAGTGTGAAGTCAGGTCAGCTGCAAACATGTTCAGACACTGGAGACAGATTGTTCCATCTCTTCAGTGCTGCTCAGAACTTGTGAGTGTGCTCAGAAGGCATTGTCAGAGACATCTCCATGCTGCTGAGGTCTTGCCTACATCAAGGAACCGGACCTGGAAGATCTCCTTGTCTCTCAAGTGTGGGACAGCTCTGTGTTAATTTCTTCAGTATTTTTGTATGTCTCAAAATCACACGGCTACACCAATGAACAAAGAAGAATCTTGCTTGCCTGAAAGGGCAACCTAGCCCCTATCAAAGCTGTGAGATAACAGTTCCCAGGAACATTTCTTTCCCATGATTTGTGGAAGGAAATACTTCATGGTCAGGATAGGAACCACACAGTTTAGAAACTGAAACCCAAGATGAAAGAATCAATTCCCTTTAGGAGCTGAGGCAGTAAACCCCAACGCTTCTGCAACCAGCCCAGACACTGTCCATGCACTTGAGAGGAAAATACATCATCTGCCTTCTGGCAGAGCCCCCCTGCATCCTGCAGGTTTTAGGCATTTACAGCAGAGATCTCCTGTGTGGGCTGGCTTTCACTCTAAGAAATAAACAGCTTCTCCCTTCTCTGCTTCTGTTTTGCTTCTAGGCATTTTGGATCTGTGGTTAGAGCACTCAACAAAGCCACAGGAGGAGAGGTAAATGCCAACATCCCCTGCAGACTTTGCTGCACTCAAAGGCTTTCCCATCTGCTGTGAGCAGCTTTGGGTAGAGCTGTGCTGAAGAGGCAAAAGAAACACAGACTGGTACCAGCCTGCAAAATACATTGGGGACAGTCTTTGTCCTTCTCAGCTGCCAGAAGGAAGGCACGCAGGGCAGCAGTTCCTTTCAGAGAAGGATGTGCTCACTCGCTCTCAATTGCTAAAACAAAGGTGGTGCCTTAGAGCATCTCACTGCTCTTTGGGGCTACAGCTTCAGAGTCCTGAATTCTCACTTCTGGTTGCCAGCAAATACATCTGAGAGTTACCGGTAGTTCCTCAGCCACCTGCAGTGCTGCACTTGGGAACTGCACATAGGGAGAGATCTGCAAGGCGTCCCTAGAAGCCCTAAGCCCTGCCCATAGCCCAGGATGTAGCCACAGAGTATTAAGGCATGGATTACTTCTTCTGAATCCCATACAAAGCAGCAGGGAGTGGGCTCAGAGGTTTGTGGGTGATAGTTGAGACACCACTGTTACCAAGTGGACACGGCAAAACCTCAGTGGCCCCGTGTCCTGTAACTGGCCTCCAAGGGCGCGGAGCAATGGGCTGTTGCAATGTCAGTTCCTAATTACTGCCATGCCTAATCACAAGGCAGTTTGGCACAGCTCAGCTGTGTCATTGCAAAATCACTCGCTCCATGTGCCTTGTGGTCTCCTGCCACCAACTTCTCAAGTTACTGATTTCCAGTGTCATTTTAGGTGGCCATAAAGAAAATAAGACTTAAGGGACGGCAGAGGAAGCAACTAACCGTTAATGAAATCACAATCATGAAGAAGCATAGGAGTCCCAGTGTTGTTAATTATTTAGACAGGTGAGTGGTCATGGTCTTATCCCGTGAATATGCATGTACATACCGCAAACATGAAAGGTTAAAAATCCACTTTGGTCACTTCTAGAAAGTAGAGCTGTTAATCAATATTTTGTTAATAACAAAAAGCTGTGTGACGTCAGAGATGTCAGTGTGACGTCACAGAGATGTCTCCGTGACATCACAGTGATGGCAGTGTGACATCACAGACTTGTCTGTGTGACATCACAGGAGGTTGTGTGACATCACAGAGATGGCCGTGTGACATCACAGACTTGTCTGTGTGACATCACAGGAGGTTGGGTGATGTCACAGAGATGTCAGTGTGACATGACAGAGATCTGTGCAACATCACAGGGGCTGTGTGACATTACAGATACTGTGTGACATCACAGAGAGCTGTGTGACATCACAGAGGTCTCAGTGTGACATCACAGAGTTGTCTGTGTGACATCACAAAGATGTCCGTGTGACGTCACAGAGAACTGTGTGACATCACATAGATGTAAATCAGACATCACAAATATGTGTCTGTGACATCACAATAACCTGTGTGACCTCACAGGGTCAGTGTGACACCTCAGACATAGTGGTGTGACATCTCAGAGATGTCTGTATGACATCACAGGAGGTTTTGTGACATCACAGAGAGCTGTGTGACATCACTGATATGTCTGTGTGACATCACAGAGAGCTAAGTGACATCATAGGGATGTCCATGTGACATCACAGAGATGTCCGTGTGATGTCACAGAGAGCTGTGTGACATCACAAGAAGCTGTGTGACCTCAAAGGGTCAGTGTGACATCACAGAGGGCTGTGTGACATCACAGAGGGCTGTGTTACATCACAGAGATAACAGTGTGACATCACAGAGGGCTGTATGATCTTGCGCCTTCTGGAAGATGGAGTATCGCCCACTCTGTATTGCCCGGAGCACATGCAATGTTTGAAGTGCCAGCTCTGACATGGCACTACTGACATCCTCTGTCAGGCATTCAAGGGCTGCAAGAGAGAGGAACAGAGCCACGGTCAGATCCCGACTCTGCGGGGAGCCGAGGGGAGCCCCCCCTGCCAGGGCCATCCCAGCCGGCTCTTGCCATGGCCGGGAGGGATCAGGGACCAAGGGGATCAGCCCGAAGCTGCTGGCCACGCATCCCCCACGTGTCCCTGAAATCTCTGCGTGCTCTACCTAGGAGAGCAGAGCTCTCCGCAGCCGGGGCAGGGCTTGCAGCTCGCCCCGGCAGCCCCCGCTGGCAGCCCGCTGCCCTGTCTCACCATTGCAGATCAGCTGGAGCTTTTCCTGCTGTCCCCTCAAGCTCCTCCCGGCCATCCCTGGGAACACAGAGCCTGTCAGGCCCAGCGGCACAGCTCCCTGCCAGCGGCGCTGCCAGCCCTGTGCCCACACGCCCTCCTGGCCCGGCTCGTGGCTCACCCATGAACCTGACGGCGCCTCTCGCAGGGGCTCCTGTGGGCTCTGCAGGTAGGGCAGGGCCCGGCGCAGGTGCTCGGCCGCGCTGCTGCTGTCCTCTGCCAGCTGCAGAGAGCGGCAGGAGGGTGCAGTTGGTTCAGGCTCAGCCCCTTGGCTGCAGCCCTGGGCAGGGGAGCAGCTGCCAGCCGCACGCCCTGAGCAGCGTGGTCAGGGGCTTCTCCAGCCTGAGCCTGGGGCTCGCAGGCCGGTCTTACCAGGTCCCCACTGAACCCCCAGGTCTGATCCACCTGCAGCATCTGTTGGAGATCCTTCCTGTTCAGGAATCTGGCTGAACAACGCAGCGTTTCCTGAGAAGCCTGGAGAGCAGCAGAGACGCGGAGATGGCCCCACAGCCCAGGGCGCAGGACCCGTCCCTGTGCCAGGGCCTGGAGGAGGCTGCAGCCTGCGAGGTGCCAGGGCAGGAGGCAGCCCAGCCCCTGCCAGGGGAACAGCAGCAGCTGCCGAGTCCTCACCTCTGCCACTCGCTGGTTCTCATCATGGCAGTGGAAGGAGAGTGGCAGCAGGCTCTGGTGCATGTGTGTCTTCAGGGCCTTTTTATCCTCTTCTGGAAAAAAATCAAGCATCTCGGTAGCCAAACATGGAGCACAACTTCACCTGGCTATCCTCCTGTATGAAAGGAAGGAAGAAAGACCTCAGCGTCAGCTGCTTCAGGCCCACCTGGGCACAGCCTGTAAGTGCACAGGGCACAAAGTGTGCGGGTAGCACCCGTTGGCCGTGGCTGGTGGCGCAGAGCCTTACGTTGTCAAAGAGTGGCAGGAGCGCCTCAGCCAGCTGCAGGGCGAGGGCGCTGGTTATTGGGGCACCATTGCAGAGAAATAAACCCCTGAGGAGAACCGTGGTCATCCTGAGCATGACACTGTCATTTTCCTGCCGGAGCTCCACGAGCCTTTCATGCAGGCTCCACATCCTTCTGGCCATCTACTTGTGGAACACAAGTGTGTGAAACACCACCCTGCTGCCACAGGGCCCAGGGGCCAAAGGCCTGTGCCAAAGCACTCGGGCAGCTGCAGCAGGAGGCAGGAGAGCTGGCAGCAGCTGCCTCAGTGCCCCAAGGCCAGCCAAGCCCCAGGGACTGCCTTCCCCAGCCCCACGCTGGCAGCACGGCTTCAGCCCCTGCGCTCTTCTCACCGAGGCACTGGTGGTGCCGAGCACCACGAGGCCTCTGAGTGCCAAGCGACGCCTCCCCCTGCACTCGCTCTGCAGGTTCTTTGACAAGAACTCCAGGACGCTGTCACGGCATTCACTCAGGTTCAGGCGCTCCAGGACCTGAAAGGCACAGGGCAGTGACGGGGGAGCGGCCGGCGGGAGCCCAGAACCGCACAGGGCCGGGCCCAGGCAGCAGCACAGGGCGCGGGCTCCGTCCCAGGCACTGCGGCCAAGAGAGGGCAGAGAGCCGGGAGGCAGCTGAGCGAGGCAGCGCTGGCCTTCAGGCTCACCTCCACAAGGAACGCCAGGGCGGCCAAATCCCGGCATGGCGTGTCTTTGCTGAGCAGCCCGAGCAGCTGGAATGCAATCGCGGAACACACGGCTTCGGATGCGCGGTGCATTTCTCTGACAGGAGGAAATAGGAGCCAAACCCTGAGCCAGCGGGGGCAAACCTCTCCCAGGACTGACTCACAGAGGTCTGGCCTTTCTCCAGCACCCTGCAAGGGGCAGCTGAGCCCTCTGGGAGGTTGCTGCTCTTGGGCACGCTCCTCTCCCAGCCTTTTGCAGCCTCCTTGGCCGTCCCTTGGTGACAAGGGCTTCTGGCCCACGGCCACGGGGACTGTGTGGGGCACCTGGGGCACAGGGCACACATGCCAGGGACAGCTGGGGAGCAGGGGGTCTCACCTGGTCAGCACGCCCACAGCACAGTGGTGGGTGTCAGCACAGAGCAGCGTGTCCCAGCCACGCTTGTCTTCCATGGCCACCACCACATCCTCATAGTGCAGTCGGCAGAGCAGGGCCTTCAGGGTCTGCTCTGCAAAGCTGTGCACAGAGCAAAGCCCAGGTCACGCTGGGAGCACTGGCTCCTGCCCAGGGATTTGGCAAGGACAGGAGGACTGGCATGGAGCACCTGCTGGGGTTGGAGGTAAGGCCATGTTGCTGCTGACATCCCTCCCAGAAGGTATCAACCTCCTCTGGCATATCCAGAGTGCTGAAGAGCACTTGGAAGAGCAGATGGACAAACAGGCGGGGGAAATACACGGTCACCATCTGTGGGACACAGGGCAGCTGGAGGATCTTCCACATCACCACAGTTGCCTGCAAAGGACAAAGCCCCTCGAGACAGCGCTCAGTGCCGAGGTGTCCGTGTGGCAGGGCCCGAGCACGGGAGGGAGAGGCCCGGAGAGACGCAGGGGGAGCACCGGGCCTGGTGGCCCTGAAGCTGTCCCAAGGCCAGGTTTCAGCCCAGCACCTCAGGCAGGGAGACGCCGTGGGGGAGGGAGGATGGAGAGCTGCTGGAGGGGTGGCCTTGGGGCCAGCAAAGGCAGAAACTCACAGCCAGGGCAAGGACAGCCGTGTGGTCCCCATCGGAGGTGCACGTGCTGTGCTCTGGCCAGCTCCCCAGCACATCGAGGAGTTCGAGCATGGCCGGCTCTGCAGTCCTGGGCGAGCACATGATGCTCTTCCACATGGCCAAAGCAGCTCTGTGGGGTCAGAGCTCTGTCTCAGAGGAGTCTGGGACACAGCAGCGTGGCCTGGGTGGCAGCGGGGAGCTGAGCTGCTCTGCCAGCCCTGCCTCTGCCCACTGCCCCTCACTGGCAGCACGCAGGCAGCCCAGCCCTGTGGGGACTGGCCCCTGAGGGGCAGGGGGGAAGCATGGCAGCACGCTGCGGGGCTGGCAGGGGCCAGGGCTGGCAAAGGGAGCAGCCAGAGGGCCCTGGAATTCTCTGTTTGTCAGACACCTGGGACAGGCTGTACAGGGTGAAGGGCTGCTGAGCCTTGTGGACACGTGGGCCCCGTACCTGTCACACACTGGGGCCACACGCAGGAGAGAAATCACCACATCAGAGGGCTGTGCCTCTGTCAGATCCAGAAGGGGCCTCTACAGATTGTACTCAGGAAACTCATTGGCCACGAGGATGTACCTCATCATGGCAGGCAGCTGGAGAAGGCAGGGGAGACTTGGAAAGCTGCCAGAGGAAGGAATGTGCCCAGCTGCCCCAGAGAAGTGCTTCCCTTGCCACCACACTGCCATGGCCTCAAAGGCTTCCAGGGAACAGCAGGCGTGGCTTGGGAAGCCAAGTAATTGCTGGGAAGAAAAAAGCCAGGCCACAGGCTGCTCACTTGCTTTGGGCTGGAAGGACCCTCCTCCACAAGCATATCCAGCAGGGCAGCACTGGTCTTGGTTTTGAAGATGGGAGAGTACGCTCTGACCACAGTGCCCGTGACGCTGCTCTCTTCCTCCCGAATCCTCTTCATGAATTTGCAAACCATCTGTAGCAGAAGGGCAAGAAGCCCGGGATGTTGCATGGAGTGCTCCGAGCACAGTGCTGGGCTGAGCAGTGCCAGCAGGCCCAGCCCAGGTGGGGATGGCTGCAGGTACCTGCGCTGTTCTGCGGAAGCGGCCACGGGTGCGTTCCTGCTCTCGTGTGCGCTGCACGGCTGCACCTGGCAAAGAGCGAGCGCAGCCCGAGCTGAGGGGCTGCGGGAGAGGCCGGAGAACACAGCCCAGCCCTGCGCTGCCCAGGCAGGGACAGCCCCGCGCCGCCCCAGGGCATGGAGCACGGCTGTGGGGTGTCTGCCCGGCCCCTATTCCATCCTGTCCATGGGCATGGCCCCAGGGGATGGGATGGGATGGGATGGGATGGGATGGGATGGGATGGGATGGGATGGGATGGGATGGGATGGGATGGGATGGGATGGGATGGGATGGGATGGGATGGGATGGGATGGGATGGGGCCAAGCTGGCTGCAGGCACCAGCCCTGTGGCCCAGCTCTTCCACTCACCCTTCTGTGGTGGCTGGAACTGCTCCACCTCTTCAGGCTGCTGTGCTGGGGCAGCTCCAGGGCCTTCTTTCTCCTCCTTCCCCAAGGCCAGCTTGGGCACGCTCGCAGGTCTGTGCTCTACGTCACTGCCTGGATTCATGGCTACTTGCAGAAGGTGAAAAGGAAAAGGTCTGAGTCAGCAAGTGCTGCAGTTGTGCCTTGAGGACACCTGCAAGAGTGAAGTCTGGGCAAGGCTACAGGACAGCAAGTCCTGCACTCTGGTCTTGGGGGCTCCAGCCACAAGGACAGGAGACTCCTGTCAAGGACGGTGCAAAGCAAATACCACAGTCTGTCCTCGAGAGCAGCTGCAGAAGAGATGCCTTGGGAAGGCCAGAGGTCACCAAGTGTTCTGGTCTGGCCACGAGGTCACCTGCAGGAGTAATACCTCGGGAAAGCTCCAGGTCAGCAAGGAACGAGTGGCTGTGCGAGGGCTCCTCACAGCACCGCTCTCTCCATCCTGTCCTGTCGCGTGCACAGAGCACTGTGGAGTGGCCTTGTCACTGCCAACACCTTTGCCACAGCATGTCACAAAGGGCCCTTGGATACCCTGTCCCGTTCCATGCCACGGTGACCATGCTGCACCGTGTCACAAAGGGCCCTTGGATACCCTGTCCCGTTCCATTCCACGGTGACCATGCTGCACCATGTCACAAAGGGCCCTTGGATACCCTGTCCCGTTCCATTCCACGGTGACCATGCTGCACCGTGTCACAAAGGGCCCTTGGATACCCTGTCCCGTTCCATTCCACGGTGACCATGCTGCACCGTGTCACAAAGGGCCCTTGGATACCCTGTCCCGTTCCATTCCACGGTGACCATGCTGCACCGTGTCACAAAGGGCCCTTGCATGCACTGCCACCTGCCCTGGGGCCACCCCCAGCCCCCCAGAGTGGCCCAGGTTGGAAGGAATACCTTGCCCCAGGTGTGTCAGACAGCCCAACAGGATCTTTAGGAACGGCTCAGACCATCAGCAAACGCTGCCCTGCTCTGCGGGCTCAGAGCAGCAGGAGCCCCCAGGGCTGCCGACGCAGCCGCGGCGGGAAGGGCACGGGGCCCTGCACAGAAGCTGGCACGGCCTCCTCGGGACACGTCCCACATGGTGGCCATCCTAAGCACGGCCGTGTGACACAGACCAGGAACGTGTGGGCCAGGGCAGGAATGCTGCTCTGACCCTGGGGCCCGGGGAGCGCTGACATCAGCCGCTGAGGCACAGTCCCCGCCGAAGCAGAGTTCCCCCGAGCCCTGGCAGCACCGGTGCCCGTCTGCTGCCCCAGAAACCTGTGCCCCAAAAGGGCTTCTCTGCCAGAGGGCAGCCAAAGCTGGTGTGTGTTGCAGCATTTTTCAGAGAAAGAGGACATGAGTTATGAGATTTGAGCTACTCCAGTCTAGGCCTCAGATTTGGGCCTTGTGAGGCCTTCAAGCCTCTGACGCAGTTAGAAATTCAGAGCTTGTGGCGCAAATAGAAATAGTATTAAGGTGTGACGGGGACCACTGGGCTGTCTGGGTGTGAATTAGTATACGTTTATAGTGTAAGGCTCAAGCCACTTTAAGGAAAAGGTAAACAATGTTAGCCTACCAGAGTGCCTTTGTTTCTGTAAACTATGTAGAAGCTTATATAAACTACCATCTTATCTCGAATAAACGGAACATTTGATTAACCACATTGGTTCAGATCTGCGTTTGTCTTGTCCAGTTTCCCATTTTCCTGAGATTCCCTGGCTTTTGGTGTGCACTGGGGGCTGTGCTCTGTCCTACAGGGGATGTTGGTAGCAGCACCTGGAGCAACTGGTGGCAACACTTGGTGCGTGTCAGATGTTGTTGCTCCTTCCCGGAATGATTTTTTCATGGAAGGGATTAGCAGCAGCACAGAAACACCAACAGCTACTCAACTTCACAGGACAAAGAGAATCTACCGAAACACTGTCATGTTTCCTTGTGCTTTTGCGTTTTTCTTGCATTCGAAAAGAAAAAGAATTGGCCCAAGCCCCGCTATTCAAATCTCCAGCTGCTGTGTGTCTTCCTGTGGCAGCTCACGTGCAAACACAACTGGCTGCCTGCTCAGCTCGGCACTGGACGGCCACAAACAGGGAGGGCCCTGGTGAACATCTCTTTGGTCTGGTGGGGCAGCGAGGGCACAGGAGACAAAGACTGCTCCTCCCGAGTTCATGGGGCAACAGAGAGATTTTATTTCCCATGCCCCCCCTTACACAGGGCATTTGAAAGACCAGGCCTGGAAGCTCTCATTGGTTTGAGCTCCACGCCCCTTCAGGTTCTGGCCCGTGAGGTGCCTGCAGTTTTGGGAGATATTTGATTGGTCAAGACCCCTGTCAATCATGGTAACATCTCACCTTTCTTTATAAAATTCTGTGCATTGTTCTCTGTCACCCATCTGCAAGGGCCCTTTGCAAACACGGTGACAGAGGACAGCGTGCATCTAATTTACACTGGAGCTGCAGCATTCCCCTCCAGGAACTGTTAGGGGAGAACTCAGGCCACAGGCATAATGCTTCTCGGTTACAAATTGAACTTATCTCTAAAAGCAGAAAGCTATTTAACCCTGAGCCCATTTAGCCCTCAGAGAAAAACCCAATTTTAAAAAACAACCTTTAAGCACTTGATCCCTTGGAGAAAAACCGAACTCCCAAAAACAGTCTGTAAACAGAAAAACTGTTTGTAAACATGAGAAATAATTTGTAAACAAATCAAGTCCTTCTATGAACTGTCCATGAGGCAGGTGATCATTTGTAATGCTGTCTGGGGTTTCCAGTGTCCATATTTTAGGCAGCAGTATTGTACTGTTGTAGGATTTATTGTAAAACATGAGAACAGACTCAGAGGGGAGGAGGGTGTACCCTCAATCCAACCCCTTTCTCCTTTTTTCTTTGTATAATAAATAATAATAGGAACAGAACATGGATTTTGAATACTATTAACTTATGCAAAGTTAACTTATATCTTGAAGCAATGCAAGAATAATTGCTAGAATATTAAGAAAATACATGTTAATACACATACAAGGACTTCTTTACGATAATGATTTACTAAAATATGAATATCGATATAATATTGATATCCAACTGAGACGGACAAAAACTCTCTAAGAGTTTAAAGTTAGAAAATGTATGTTTATTGAGACAGCCGGGCAGTACATGGGATAATTCCCTAATGCACACGGCAAAAATCACAGATATTACAAAGCTTTTTTATTGACAGAAGTCTTGAATACACAAAATATGAATGCATATTCACATCCCAGTCACTTCCTCTGCTCCGCTTCATATGCTAATTGGCAGAAAGGCTATTAAGCATGTGTAGTTCTGTTCCCTGAAATGAGTCAGGGGTCCATTTTGGGGAGGGGTCTCCAAAATGAAGAAGTAAAATAAGTCTTCCTCGTTCTGACCTTTCTGCCTTTCCCATGCACACGTGACAAATGAATCCTTGCCGTTTTCCTGTGCTTAATGGATTCCTAAAGTAGGGGAAGTCTGCAACTGTTTTTGTGTCCCTGAAATCTGTTTGTCACATTCTGTTTCTCATGATAAGCACAGCTACCCAAACATAAAGCTGAGAAGCAATGAGTTAATAGATCCTGGATATCTTATCTAAGATCCAGCTACTGTTAACCAGGAACAAAGCCTATTTATCTACTTCCACTAAGTCAGCAACATCTAATTTAACTATCATCTTAACTTCCTAAAATTCTTAATTCTACCAAATTAATGTCTCACTGGGCATGGGGACAGGGAATGGGAATGGGGACAGGGAATGGGAGTGGTGACAGAGACAGGGAATGGGGACAGGGACCAGGAATGGGGACAGGGAATAGGACTGGGAATGGGGACAGGGACAGGGAATACTGAACAGGGATCAAGAATGGGGTCCGGATTGGTGTGGGAGCAGGACGGGAACGGGACAGGGGGGACATGGGAACAGGCAGGGGCAAGGGGAGTATGGAAGGGGAGTAAGGAATGGGGCAGCCACTGCAGGGGGACCGGGCTATGGGATGGGGACACATGGGGACAGTTCCAGGGCAGGGGGTCCTTGACCAGCTGCCCAGAACCTCCACCAGGGTCTCCCAGTGCAACTGGAGCCGCTCAGCCTGGCGTGCCCAAAACCCTGAGCAACTCCCAGGTCCCTCCCAGGAACCCTCAAGTCCCTCAAACCCAGCATCCCCCACATCCCCTGCAAGAACCACCCCCATGTCCCCATCCTTGTCTTAGCTCAACATCTTTATTTTTACTTGCTTTTTAGAGTTTTGAAAGAGCAAAGAGAAATGAAAAGAAAATCCAGGCCAGGGGGGCCAGGAGGATGTGGAGCCCCCAGCCAGGTGTCTTCCCAGCATGGATCAGCAGCACCACGGGTCACCGGGGGTCTGCCCACCGGGCTCACTGGGGATCATCCAGCACGGATCCTCCTGTGGGGGATGGAGCTGGAGCAGCGCACGGAGCTCTTCCCACACTGGGGCACTCGCAGGGCCGCCCTTCGTGGTGCCTCTGCTGGTTTTGGGTCAAGGCTGAGCTGTGTGATGAGCTCTTCCCACACCTGGGACACTCGTAGGGTGTGGGACATCACCAGGAACAGGGCTGGGATGTGCCCTGGTGCCTGGGACATCACCAGGAGCAGGGCTGGGATGTGCCCTGGTGCCTGGGACATCACCAGGAGCAGGGCTGGGATGTGCCCTGGTGCCTGGGACATCACCAGGAGTGGGGCTGGGATGTGCCCTGGTGCCTGGGACATCACCAGGAGTGGGGCTGGGATGTGCTCTGGTGCCTGGGACATGACAAGGGGTGGTGCTGGCTGGGGTTTGTTTGGTGCCTGTGAAATCCCAAGGGCAGTGTCACAGCGGGGCAGCTCTCAGTGTCCCCAGCAGGTCACAGTGTCCAGTGCAGCCCGTGCCAGCGGTCACTGCGCACACGGGGCAGGCTGGGCTGGACAGGGGACGGGGCAGAAACGCTGCCCCGGGACTGGGGTCTCCCCCTGCCTCTGGGGCACCTTGGGCAGGGCACGGGGCTGCTGCTGGGCCAGGGGAACAGGCCGTGCCCCCTGTCCCCTGCTGCTGGGCCAGGGGGACAGGCCGTGCCCCCCGTCCCCTGCTGCTGGGCCAGGGGGACAGGCCGTGCCCCCTGTCCCCTGCTGCTGGGCCAGGGGAACAGGCCGTGCCCCCCGTCCCCTGCTGCTGGGCCAAGGGGACAGGCCGTGCCCCCTGTCCCCTGCTGCTGGGCCAGGGGGACAGGCCGTGCCCCCTGTCCCCTGCTGCTGGGCCAGGGGGACAGGCCGTGCCCCCTGTCCCCTGCTGCTGGGCCAGGGGGGACAGGCTTTGCCCCCTGACAGCTCCCCAGGCCCCTCTGGTGCCTGTCCCACATCCCTGTGGCTCCTGTCCCCACCACTCCCCACCACCTTCACTCCCTCCCTCAAAGCCCCACTCAACCCCTTCACAGTGACCTCTGGAAAGAAAGAATGAAGGAAAGGAAGTGTTGTCTGTTCACCCTGGATGGATGTCAGGCACCCACCAAAGCTGCTCTCTCACTCCCCTCCAGAGATGGACAGGAGAGAGAAAACAGAATGAAGGCTTCATGGGTTGA